GCAGAGAGTGATGACCTCTGCCCAATAACCTTCTAAAGCTCGATGAGCACTTCATATGAATAAGTCTTGTCCACAGCTCACAAGCGGGACATCAAAAGAATGATAGAGAAGAAAGGCGATCAAAAAAAAAATAGAACAAAAGATCGAACACATCAGCAGCAGATAGGGCTAAAATGATTTGGAACCCAAATAATAGAAGTAAGGTGAAATTCATGTTTGAAAAGTTTTGTATGTGAGAGAACACCAAGTTGTTTAACGAAAAATCTGAGCAAAATAAATTTCAAATAAAAAAATGCAGAGGAAATAAAATCGGTGAAATCCAAATACAAAAAACGCAAATACAAATTGAGTAATTTGAATAAAAATACAAATAATCAATGGAAAGCAGTTTACCGGTAAACTAACGCTTAAAGGGAAAAACTACACACAGTTACAAAAGTCTGCATACATTCATTAAAATAGATATTTACGAAGCATTATTTGGGTGTAAACTGTTACATATACTAACTGTCATGCTACTCACATAAAAATATCCCCCACCCCCAAAATAACAGCTTAAATAAGGTAAATACGGCAATTACATACAGATTTGTAGAAACCAGAACGTCACAAAAGTCAGCATAGAGTTAATTCGCTCTTAACTAAATTCGCATATGTGGCTGTTTTCTTCCCTTTTGGATTTATAAGGAACCACCCAAGACAGTCATTATCTTGCTTCTCTTTTCCAAAGAAGAGCATAGTTCGAAAAAATGAATCTGTAAAGTTTAACTCTTTTTGGTATCATCCAATATTAAACTCTATGTAGACGTTAAGTGACTTATCACTAGATCTAAACTATGACAGAAACTGAGAATGGTGTAAAACTGAGAATGGTGTTATTTAAAACTAAATAAAATGAATAGAAGCCACTTCTTGTGCTTACAATTCCTACAAAATTTATGGCGAGAAACTTAAAAGCAGTAATTCAAATGCAAAGATAAATTTAAATAATCTAATAGCCAAAAAGTATACAAAGCAATTTAATACAAAGTTGGCTCAGAACTTCACATCGGCGTCGATTTCAACTATCAGCGATTATAAGGCCAAAGACAGAAAAGCTTATCTAAAAGAGCAAACCCAGTAAAAAGGGCCAAAAGCTGCAGAACATGTTCTGTCTTAACAATCTCAAAACATCACCTAAATACGCGGGAACTAATTTGCATTCTGGTGGGAAAACTGAAAAAAGTGACTGTGCAGATTCAAAACATAAAATAACTGGTTATTTAAACTATTGCAAAATTAATGCATAAAACGACATATTATAGTGAAATAGCTAAAATTATCGGGAAAAGGCTTGCAACTATACAGATAATAGTACCTTTGGGTGTTAATAAAAAGACGGTGAGAAGGAGTTAAAATCTGTAGTGTAAAATCTCTTAGTGAATTAAGCCGATAATGTTGTAAGGATTATGTTTATTTATCTAAAGTTAAATTTTGAGTCCCTTCTGAGCTTACAACTTCCGGCCAGAACATATTTTTAGAAGCACGTATGAATGCAAATTGAGAAAGAGCTGTATATAACCGCGAAGTTCTACTCTCTTAGTTAGGAGAGAACCAGGCATTCTGGCTAGCATGCGTCCACCTTTTTAGGCTACGCTCTCAAGCTATTATTACGATCGGCCGTACTTTAGGCCCTTGATATGTTTGATAGCTTCGGCTATATCTTTTTAGTTAAGATTAGTTTATTTCTTAGTTTCTTAAGTTCAAGCCCGAGTGTCGGCTTTATTATACAACTCCAAGACGGAGTTCTGTTAAATCTTATTTGAATAATAAAGGGTTATTTCACCTTTCTTACTTCTTGCTTCCTGTACCACGAACTCAAGCGATTATTCACTTATCAGTTCTTAAGATTCTTCACACTCAGCTATAACTTTAAAATACAGAGTACAGAATCTTACAATTGGTGCCCGAACAGGGAGAGGAAAGGAAGTTTAACTCAAAATTTAACTGTTAGATAAATAAACATAATCCTTACAATGTGAAATACAGAACTGGAAATTTCTTTTATTCTCGACCCATTTAACACTCCTTTTAAAAGAATATAAACGTATGTCGAATACAAATAATCAAGGCAACTACGCAATCACTAGTCACATTTTACAAACTGTCATTTTACGAAGAATTTAGCATAAAAAGTAACAGTTTATCTCACACACTACTACACGGAAGATAAATATACGGATACAGTGTCAGATAAAATATTCGCAACGTCTTTTGATAAGATTTAAAGAAATCGTTAAAGCAGTGTGTTGTCGATATATACGCTCGTGTGCAAAATTAAGAGAATTTACAGATTATCTCGAATTTCTGGACATAATGAAATCTAGCATCAGTATGCATTTATAACAGAGAAAGGGATATACAATTCAAAAGTCATTTGATGTACACATGATTATCAGTAAAGCTCATAATGTCCAAAATCCCCGTTGCGATATCGAAGGGAAAATGAATCTTAATATGGGATATGTTCCCCCTCAAAGCCAGACAAGTCGCGCAGCGTGATGGCATACTGGACAAATGGCAGTTGAGGAGACCCTGTGACAGTCCATTCCATTCTGCAGAAAGGTTGTTTCCAGCTCTGGGATGGTTCTTGGACGAGGATAGCGAGATGAAATTGCCCTCCTAAGACCTTCCAAAACGTGCTTATAGGGTTAAGCTCAGAAGATTTGGCTGGCTAATGCATGCGGCGAATATCCTCACTTTCCAAGTAATCGTTGACCAGTTAGCCATATGTTGACGTATATTGTCGTCCATTAATAGGACTCCGGTACCAACTGCGCCCCTGAAAAGTCGAACATAGAGCTCTATGATCTCCTCTCTATACTTCATAGCAGTCAGGAAATCTTTGTCAAACACATGCAGGGCTATGCGTCCGTCCAACACAACCCCAGCCCAAACCATTATCCCTCCACCCACATCATGATCCTTTTTCCTGATGAGAGAGGGACGCTATCATGTTCCAGGCTCTCTTCAAATACAGGTACGCCGAGAATCAGTATCCATCCTGAATCTCCACTCATCTGTAAAAAGTGCTCCACTGAAGTCAGGTCCAAGGCATATGTTGTCTGCACCATGGTAAACGTGCTCTCTTGTGAGCTGGACGTAAACAACCGATCTTCTGGTATACAATCCTAGTTCATGAACACTTCGGACAACTGTAGACACTGAAACTCGAGTCAGTGGCAGTATACAGCTCACGTGACAGCTGTGAAGCTGTAGCAAAAGGTAAAGGTACTGGTATTTAATTTAATAAAAAAATAATAGCGTTTTATTAAATGGTTTGTTTGCTCTACTGGAATCATACAAAAATTTACATTTTATATTTCCAGAACACTTTCACCCTTGCTAAAATTACTTTTGTAAAATTCTCCATCTTATTTTGACAAATTTTATAATCGGAAGTATATGTCTAGTATACGTATTTAAGATAATAAAGCTTTTAATAACTGTTTAAGAACACTTAAAGTAATTTATACCACTTGGAAAGTGATATAAACTACATTCGCTCATGTTTATTTTCGAAAATTTTTATATGAAACATATAGAAAATACTAAAATGAAGATTTAATTTTTTTTCACATATACTTATCTCTTTCAAAAACTGCTTGTTGCTTAAAAATATGTTCAAAAATAAAATAATTTATTCATGAAATACCATAAAGAGCTCACTTAAATATTCAGATACTCAAACATTTTGCTAAGATTTTCTGCAAATGTTGCTTTATATTCTTTCCATTTGATATTAAATGAACATATATTTCAGGAATTACTGCCATCAGTCTGCGGTATTAGTTCTTGAGCAAATTATTTTAGTAATTTCAAATTTAAAACTTCCATGACAAGAGGCCACAAAGTTTAAAAGAAGTTTAATGATATGGCAGATTAAAGGTAGTTAAAGTGATGGAAATATCACAAAAACAGTTCATGTAAAGCATCCACCTGTCTTTGTTATTACGGAATGTTAGCTATTGGGATGAACAGTTGAAATGGCAGCAAAAACATGATCTCTTTTCAATCTAACACCAAGGAATCGGACATTTATCCTGAGAAAAATCAAGCAAAACATAAACCTAAATGCTTTTAAATTAACAGAAAAATTAGAAGAACAGTTTGCAATTAAAATCACCCTGAAACTATCACCTTGAAACTTATCAACTCAATGATCAAGGTATATGGATGAAATGGCCGAATAACAAGAGAGGAAGTTCTCCGGGAACATGAAAAAAGGAAATTAATATCTAAGTTCATGAAGTCCATGACAAATGAAAATTTCTCATATTGGTCTAATGCAATATTTACAAGTTCAAAACGTAGTATTATTTAGATACAATGGATGAATTACTGTACCAATGAAGAGCTGAATCCGAAGAACTGTTAAACACAGAGATAGATTTACAGTGAGTCGAAAAAATATTGGGAGTCAGCAAGTTTTTAAAGCATTGTTTGAAAGAATACATGAATATTTTTCTTATGTGTCATATGTTAGGGCTAAAAAATCGCAATTTCTTAATATTAAATTAAACTAATGTTAAATAAATACTAATTTATACGCACTTTATGTACAAACGAGAAAGTAACTGTCAAAAAAGGTACTAGAATATTCATATATTTTCATATTTTTCAAAATTAACATATTTGATATAAATTTCTAGCAAAATATAATTTATTGTGGAAATATTCGAGCAGCTGAAATTAGAAAATCCAAGCCTCCGCTTATATCACTAATAAGTGATATAAGGTTCAGTCTGACTCAAATAAAAATTTATACGGATGACTATGAAATAAAACAAACCTGAAATATTACAATTTTGCAAATATCGCACAATAGATATTTAAGCATCATATTAACTACTTTGATAATTTTTATCAGGTAATCAAAAGATAATTAAATGCAGTTCTCATGAGTTAAAACAGGAATTTTGAAAAGAACAACTAAATAAATGAAGTAAAATATTTTTTACCTCTATTTTTAACTAGATTTTATGTTTTCTTGTCAGTGTAGAATACACAGACAGTATACACAAACACGCATATACTCAAAAATGCTCTTTTAGAGAATGACAAATGTATCCATAGCGTACGAAATGCTTTTCATGGAATTTAAGAACATTGTTCTTTTTACCCGTCGAAATTTGCTTCCAACTTCCGTTGTCATACACTTTGTAGCACTATCTGTGGAGCACGACAAGTAGTGAATTCCACAGGGAATGTTTTTGGCCTACGTCGCTGGTGACGTCACTGGCAGGCGCGAATGACTTTTTTCCATTCTTTTTGCTATTCTAAAAGCAGCTCTAAGGTCTCCGTCAGTTCTAGTTCTACCATTTTCTATGTAGAAATGCGCATGTATAAATACAGAAACTAATTACTAGTAAAGAGAGTAAGTAGCAAGATCAACGAACTGTTTTTGCTGTTTGTATCGTATTTCGCCACAAATAACAAATATAAAAATTTATCTTCCCCAGTACTTCCCAAGCATTCCACTTTGAATGTAACTCAAAAGGGGAAAAACTTTATTCAAAACATGTATTATTTATTATATCAAACAAACAATCATTCGATAGCCGAAGTACGTAATGTATGCATTAGATAAGTGATGCTTATAAAATTTGCATTATAATGTATCTAACTAAAAATTAAGATTTTTTAAATTAGCGTGCTCAGCATTGAAAAATCAACCTGTAGTAGGCATAGCTTACATAATTTTTTATCAGGTCTAATGCTTGCTAGAAGTACACGTGAATTGCAATAACTGATATTGGACAAGTAATCTTCAAAATAAGGAGCAAGGAACACGCATTTGGAGCATGAAACTTTAAAAACTGTACTGATGAAATATTTTCCATCTGATCTAAATAATTCATTATTTAAATACCTTTATTTTCCTCCTTAAGAACATCTTCTACAAAATGTCTTAGACTTTTTTTTTAAACTCTATCTTAATAAAGATGAAACACGCCAGGACTAAGTTCAGAGAATGACAGTAAAAATGCTCATATTTTTGAACGATTCTCCTTGGGATTCATTTATTGTGATGACGGTGTAACAGGTGTGGATTTTTGGCTTTATGTGATTACGGAAACGCATAAAGGGCTATCTCGCCTAAGGGGAGGGTGCCTTCGTGGTAAACTTTCTAAGGTAAATTGGCTCGTCTACAGGTTTACACATGAGAAAAAAAAAACGAAAACGCCCATGCAACCAGACCGTTCGCAAGATTCGAACCTCGTATCAAACTACCAGTGTTCAGCGACTTAAACGCTTGGCCGCTTGTGGGCCTACAAGTGTAACAGGAAACTGTTTTCTTTTGAGACCGAAGCTAAGGTACCACTTACACAGGACTTTGTGGGTAATGAAATTTCTTAATAACATTAATGAACTACCCCCGTCATCACTGTTCTAATCAGTTTCATGAGGTGCTGCGGGCAATCAGTGGCAATAGCTTCTATAAATTTCAATCTAACTGTAGAAAGAAGGTCGTGTATTCGGTTATTCATTGTCAAGGCATCTTGCCTTTACTTGTTAATTATCATCTTAGATAATCCTTTAATTAAAATCCTAAATGGAATTAACGATGTCAACCTCTTCTTTGGGGATATGCACATGATTTTTAAGGAAATTTATCAATTTTCACTCCCCAATTTTAAGAAACTATTCACTGAAATTTTTTTGCCATTTCGATTTCATATTAATTAAAATATTGAATAGGTTGCACAAAGCGGAACTTTCAGCATAGGAGCACATGTCATTTGCTTTCCATCCTTTACAAGAAACATGGATTATCCATTGGTAGTCATCGTTCAGGGCATAACTGCCCTCGAAAGAAGCCTTAAAGTGGCATGCCATCAAGGACGAGTAGGTTTAAACTAGTCTCTTAGCATTTAAAGCAATAATAATTCTTCCGGTAAATTTTATCTAACATTAAAAAATATTAATCTTTTGTCTTACGTTAATTACTATCATCTTATGTCTTTTCAGAATACATGCCTTTTCGAAGCAGTCGGATTTTCATTCGAATAGAATATTACGTCAGCGAGCAAGGCTGCTTTGGCTTGGTTTACTTAATTATGGCAAGGCACTCGAGGGCTATCTGCTTAACGGAAGGGAAGCCTTTATAAAGGACTTTCTAAGGGAAACTGGGTCTATAGACTTTAAACATGGAGAAAACCATGAAAATGCCCATGAAGCCGAGATTCGAGCTTCGGGCCGAATTATCAGTGCTCAACGACTTTACCACTCGGCCGCTGATAGGCCTACACGAGCAAGGACTAGCTAGTTTTAATCTATTCTTATAGCCGCCCTAGAAAAGTTTCACCTTGTGCTTCAACAGTATTTGATTGCATTCTGATGACTTATAAAACGGCGTTTTTGTAAAGAGAGGAAAAGATAATGCTGCAATACAAATTTCATATTAATTCAAAAGAGCTTCCCGAGACGAAGAGTTTAACATAATTTCCTATGAGGATCGGATTAATTACATTGAAAGATGCATAATTTTCAAGTTTGTAACCGTTTAGATTTTCATTTTCAACAATAATTTGTAGGGTTTATATTTATTTTAACTAACATTTATTTTAAGTTTAAACTATCTTTCCTGTCAAGCCTTACTTTCCCCTGGAACTGCCAATGCCAGAATATGTAAATTTGAGTAGAAGTAGAACGCGCAAGCATTCAAATTATCAGCGGAAGTATTATGATTTAAATAGCAAGGAACGAGTTCGGTTTGATATCTTACTGCACGAGCGCGGAGGTGTTAGCGAGAATTGAGAAACCCCGCGTTGCGGCCTATGTGCTTGGCGGGAAGTAGTGGTAATCGTTCCAGTGAGCTTCAAGTCTGCTGAATTAGCAGCGGTATTGTAAAACGCGGTGAGTTAGTTATTTTAGAGAGCCTCGTAGTTAGAATCTTGTCTTTACTTTCTTTTCAGGTTATTATTTTTATTTGACTGCCAAGTTGGCACAGTCTGTGAGCGTCAAGAGCACGCAATTGTAATTTATTACGTTGAATAAAAAGGGACTTAAACCCTTCACAAGGCTCTATCTTTTATACAAGGTTTCACAGTCACCTCTTGGTTACGTGCAATTTGGAGGCGCGCAACGGTATATTGGCGCCCGAACATTTATCGAACTGAAATGGCCGAAAACTGGATGGAAGCCGCTGGACAACACCAAGAAATGACAAGTCAGTTAGAAGGATTTGGATACCTGGTCCAGACTTGAGAGCGTCAATCAAGCCAAACGTCTATTTCGACGGAAAAAATTCGGTTGTCGGTATTTCTCGAAGGTCTAGAAAACCACTTTCAGCTCTATCCTTTTGCCTGAAAGACAAAAAGTTGCCATCGCCACATCAGCAACTAAGAGGACAGGCCGCGCTATGGTGGAAATATAGGTAAATTTTTATTAGGGGAATTTGCAAGCCAGACATATACATTGGAAAATTTCAAAAAATCGTTGTAAGGCCTTCCCCATAGTGAAAGATCGCGCACGGGCTGGAAGCCGAAACTATATAGTTTCTATCAACGGGATACAGCACAATTGACGGACTTATTTTACGAAAAATCAAGCTAACGGATATGCTGTATGGAAAGAAACCCGATGCGGAGATAATTGAAATAATATTACCAAGATTGTTACTCGCTGTCCAAGACTACTTTGAAATTAGAAACCCAAGCACATTGCAGGAACTTTTCGAATTGGCGGTGAAGTTTCAAAATCGCAGAATAGCGGAAAAAGCGAGAGGGGAAACATATTCTCAAAGTACCCGAAGGAAGGAGTAAACCAGAAATGGAAATCGCTCTTATCCGGGAAAGAACTATCAAGCTAACGCATCGAAACTCGAAGGTCAAGGCCCAAAAAGAAAATTTGAAAATAAACATCAGCGTACCCAGAAGACACAGATTGAAAACAAAGCTTTAAACGAGTAGAGGGGCTTGTGAAAGGGAGGGTCCAGACCCCGGAAGTTTTAAAAAAACCCTCAAATAGACATTTAAACACGGTCATCGTAAAAAGCTCACAGCTACCAATTATACAAGTCCTGGTTGGCGATGTACCAGTAGAAGCCCTCATCGATACAGGAGCAGAAGGAAATTTATGAGTGAAAATTTCTTCAAAAGAATTTTTATAGGATACGATTATTTAAAACCAGAAATACGGAAATTATAGCAGCGCAAGGAAAAACATGTCACTGCATCGGGAAATTATCATTAAACTTACAGGTAAAAGAGAAAATCTCAAAGTAGTATTAATTTTTGTGGTGAAGGACCTGCAACACTCTCTTATTTTAGGTATGGACTTTCTAAGGCCGCGAGGGCCAATTAAATTTTAAAGATAGTTCGTGGTGTTGGAGATGGACCAGAGTGTGGTGGAACCTGTGGTGGAGACACCTGAAGTGGACCTTAGCCATCTGAATGACCATGAAAGTAAAGCAATACAGCAAGTGGTGAGTAATTTTTTCTCATGTTTTCAGAAAAACCAGGAAAACTGGCAAATCGTGACTCACAAGATTCAATTAAATGCCGAAAAAACCTTGTTAGGACAAAAACCGTATCGTTATGATAAACAAAAAAGACCTAATCATCGAAGAACATATTCAGGAGATGTTAAAGAATAAAATAATAACGCCCTAAATAGTGAGTACGCGGAGTCCAGTCGTACTATGTAGGAAAAGAACGAATTTCCTCCTTCGGATATAAAAGGGCTTGGAGGTTTGCTATTGATTACAGAAAACTAAATAGTATTACCAAATTTCCAGTTTACCCTTGCCGGTTATAGACGAGATCATTAGACAGATCAAATCGACAAGATATATGTCTACTTGGACTTAACGTCTGGCTACTATCAAATAGCTATGAAACCCGAAGATATACATAAAACCGCGTTTATAACAAAATCGGGCACTTATGCATTTTTACGCATGCCCTTTGGGTTGTGTGGGGCCCCATCAACATTCCGAGAGCTATGGACATGTTCTAAAGCCTGTCTAGGAAAATCAATTTAATTATCTAATGATATAATTTAAACGAGTAGTACAGTCGGTCACAAAAGTATTCGAAACACAGGTACCCTATCAGAAAATGACAAGATGGCGTTTTTTTTCTCTTTCTCTCTGTGTGTCGTGTTATTCCATCCTAGGTTTTCTCTCCCCCCCATCTTGGAAAAACGGGAAAAAATTGGTTCGATCTCTTT